GCGAGCGCCTAAATAGGGCTTATTTTCGGGGGAGGGCTTATTTTAGAGGAGTGCTACACAGTAAGGGGAGGGCTTATTTTCGGGATACGTCTTATTATCGGGGAAACACGGTAGGAGTTGGTGGGGGCGGAGTTAAGTGGGGAAAGGTTAAGAGGGAGGGAGGGAGGGAGAAAAGAAGAGGCGGTAGAGAATAGAAAGGTTGTTTTAGTTGAGAGCTAATGACATTGACTGAATTTTTATTACTTGTAACAATAAACAATTTCTACTTGGTTTTTAAACAACACGTTGCCTGGACCACTGTCTTTAATAGTGAAGAAAGTTGATGTAATCAACTGGTGGCAACTGAATGACATGTAGCTTATGCTTTTACTTGGTGAAACAACCAAGGGCCAGGCGGGAACATGACGGTATCTGTGAGGAATGTTGAGCTTCTAGAATTTGCTGGAGAGTGAACAATAATTGAATGAGTTACCTGAACCATGGCCATTAATTAAACGCTCTTTTCAGTTTCATGCTTCTGGAGAACACCATGTTTTATTTTTTAAAATTTTTTAATAAAGTGATTGTTTTTCAATTCCAGGGAATTCAGGGTCATGTTCATGAGAATCATCCTATTTTATGTTCTCAGCCACCTTTAGAAGTGGGTTAGCTTGGTGGATTGTCATTAGGTTGAGGTTCCCCATTCGACTTTCAGGCGTTAGTTCATTGGTCTGTATTTGTTGCCTTTAGGACTTAAGGCATGCATGTAAGGGTTAGTTGCATCATCACTGGCAGTACTGACAGAAGTTTCATTACAGTACTATCTCAAATGCCACAAGCTGCTTATCCCTGTTATACAGAGAAGGTGTCTCATGACGAAGACCAAATACAAAGCTCAGAGAGTGACCAGTCCAAGGTCACCCAGTGTATTTCATAACCTATGAGGTCTAGAACTTGGAGCTAGTCCAAGTTTGTAAGCCGCAATAAGTACAAGATGTTTAACTTGGCTATTCAACATTGGATTAAATAAAGTGTAAAAAAATTAAGGTTTGTCAGCTCAGTGATTAGTTTGTGTGCTCCTTCTTCCTCTTGTGCATGTGGCCGGAGGAGTAAAAACTATGGATTCTTAAGCTTATAATTTGTCAGTCAGGTTGCAACTGGCATCTTTATATGAGCAAACCATTTTTGTGTGCTTTAGACACAAAGAAACCATAATTTGCTGAAAGTTTTTTTTCCAAGGAAATAGGCATGTTAATCTGTTGCAGCAAAATCAACAGTCTTGTAATGCCTGTAAGACTGGAAGTACTATTTGGCATAAGCCTTCATGGACATAGCCCACTTCTTCAGATGCTTGGAGTGCTGACTAGAAGAAGCATCTATTATACAGCTTGAAAAGTTTCTTTAAAAAAGTAATTAAAGTTTGATTACTTGTTACAGTATTTGGAAAGTATTCCGTAGCAATTGATCATTACAGTGTCAGAAAAGTAACTCATTGGCTGAAATCTTACTGCTTGGCATAGTATGTTGCCCTAGAGTAAATCCACTAAATCAGTGAGGATTTGGTGAGTCAACTTCCCTGTATGTTCCAATTGGTCAAATGGGCCTACTCTGAGACCTACCACATGAAGCATCAGGATTTCAGCCATTATGTGATTTGATGCATCACTTTCTTTTTTTGTTGTTCTTCTTTTACTTAACCCCCCCCCCCTTTAAGGACTGATAAATGAATAGCATAACATTTGAAAAATTCTGTTAAAATGCTTCTGAAATGCCCTTTAAAAATATAGAAATATTTTGCGTTACATCAGTAAGGTTCTGTCATGTTCAATATGTTGCTTTTGAAATGCAACATCCTTGCTGCAAAAAACTAGTTGCTTTTAATTGCATTACTTGTAACTTCTTTCCTACCACTTATAGTCTAACCTCCTGCACGAGGAGGGGTGGTACGAGTTTAAGCCTTGTGCTTTTGATTAGCCTCAAAATAATGAGACATAATTTTTAGTGATGTCCATAATTTAAATTCTTGATATTACCTGGGTAGAGGGAGTTTATATGCAATGCCTTCTAGATTTTTTTAAAAAATCTCCGTTAGCTGTCTATAAATGATAGGAAAATGACTAAGAGAGAACTGTGAGAAGTTACCCTGTTTTCCACTCTGAACTCACAAAGCAGCTTTAAGGGAACTTCTTCATATTATGTTAAGTCTATATTCTCTTATGCATAGCTGATATTATTAACTGGATTACTCCTTTCATTTATTTCAGCAAACAGGTTTATACCGAGAGAATTAGCTTTGCTGAATTCTTTTGAAAAGATGTCCCGTTTTAACTCCAACTCTGGGACATTTCGTAGTGGAGAAAGAACCCTATGAGAATTAATGGAAAGAATAAGAGGGAAAGAACAGAACAGAATCCCTGAGATTTGAGTTGTAACTCTGGCAGACCTAACCTGTGATAAAGTATATTACAGGAGATAAATGGGTGGGCTGCATTTCATCTATTGAGAATGAATTTGTCACGTTGAGAGGAACATTCCTGCTGCCTTTAACAGAGGAGGGGATGGCTGAATGCAGTGGCCAGCAACATTTGCCATTCCCAGGGTTGTTCATTCCTGTCTGTGAATTATCAGGAGAGAATCATACACTTGGGGGGAAAAAAAGACTTCTTCAGCAGAAGATGAATCCATCCCGTAGTGAACAAAGATGGAAACAGATGACACCGTATCCACACAGATGGTATTCTGTGTTGGTTATCTACAGCAATGGGGCATAAAGGAAGCTCGATAGTCAATGTTCCATATGAAAGAGAGATGTGGTAGAGTTAGAAGGTGTCTTTCCTATTATAGAAAAGACTTGAATCTGTGGAAACTCTCAGTATAGACAACTCTGAATAGAAAGGCATGCTCAGTTTTTTAAACTCTCGCTCTTGAATCAGTCCTTGTTCTTTTCCTCTGATCTGTTAAAGACTCTAAGCTAAGGTAACCATCTCATTTACTGGGGCTATTGTGTCAGCAGAGTCCCTTTCTCACTACTATACTCATCAGCATTTTTCCTTTCAGTCACATGGCACCTGACATTCTTTTCTGTGAGGAATGCTCGATCTATTACTCTTCCCCTTTGGAGGTTTTAAGTAGGACAGTTCCTACAGGGGCGGGGTCAGATGACATTTTTCCTACATTTTCTACTTATGCTGATACAGAGTGATACCTGGGCCGGGGCTGTTAACTATCCTGAATCATGGCTTAGAGTAGGCAGAGAAGGAACAGGGTGGAATGTTCTTTATGTAGACTTTATATACATGTAATCATGCAGCCTTGCCTAATGAAGCAGGTAAAATGGGTAACTAAACATAGATAGATGGTTTCTCTTCCCAGCAGATTTCATGCTTACCGACATTTAACTAGTTTTTCTTCTGGAATATTGAGCTCTGCCAATCAGAGCCACCTCTGTCACATACAGTAAGGATTTTAGAAGAATTAATGGAAGTTTCTATGGTCTCTTACCTTGCATCCTTTGTCATTCTACTGCAGGCTATGGAAGAGGGTCGCAGCTTGAGGGCGGTGCACTTGGAGAAAAAAGCTAAACTCTTGGAGCAGACGATGGAGAGTAGCTCACCCAAGGTGTAATCAAGAGGATTAGATCAGAAGGCACAAGATTGACTGACTGTCATCTTTCAATTATGAATCACTTGTGGAACAAAGTTTCATTAGCTGCTTGCTCCTGTTTTCCACCTTCCAAAAATAAATACATAAATAATTTTTTTGTAACCTTCAGTTTTTATTTAATTTTATTAGTGTTTTAAAGGAACAGTCTGAATTTTTTTTCATATTCTTGTTATTAGATATATTAAACAAAGTTGTAAAATACATTTTATTTGGTGAAAGATAGCCCTGTCCAAGTTACTACTGAATTAACTGCCAGTGTATATCCTGTGTGTAGGATTTCTAAAGAAATTTGGTAGTACAAATCTTAAAACACTGTGTGAATTTTTTATTCCAAGTTTAATCTAGCTGCACAAATATTCATGAAAGCGGTAGTAAACAAACATCTGTGCATGCTTGCTTCATTATTTTTCCATTTCCATCTGTGATTAACTATGCTACAGTATGCACCCTAAAGCACTTTTTGCTGATGTTCATAATCTCAATCATCTTTATTTTAGGAAATCAAATATACTGAAGCTTCAGTGATTCAGTGCCCTAATTTAAATCTCTCTGCTTCTCTTGGGAAAACGAAGTAGCAGCGTAGAATGCTTGAATGATCACAGAATGTATGACCACAACATGGGCATATAAAACAGGATGTACGTTCACTGTATTTTATTAATCTACTTTCTGAGGCCCAGGTAGTCTTACCTGCTTCAGAGTCTCTAGCTAGGAGGAAACATTGGTAGATATACAGTACTAACAAACTGCTAGAGCAGAGCAGGACATCTCTGAATGCTTGAAGCCTTTGTACTTGTATAGGGAGGCAAGCAAAGCAGAAGCCACCTTGCAAATCAAATTAGGATGGCAAAGCATTAATCCAATATGAATGGACTGGGGTACTTTGCTGGGGGCCATGTCTTGGCTAGTAGGAACCAAAATCACAAGCTGCTTCAGGATCCTAGCAGTCTTCCACTACCAAAAAATACAAACCATACTATTACACCTTCAGTACCACATGGTACCCCCAGCTATTACCTTTGGTGAAAAAGAAGTCCATAAAAAACTCATTTGGATGTTAGTACAAGCATTACTAAGGTTTTGGAAAGCGTCTTAAGGTCTCTGCTCGCTTTTTCCAGCCCTCACTACCCAATCAGCTTCATCTCTTATAACTTGAGTTATGTATCATCTTACAAGTCTGGACAGTACAGTTTATTCTGACTAGTATTCATCCACTGCTACTAAATTAGAAATACTGTAGAAATTCCAATGTTTTTTTTTAAAAAAAGACACACCACACTATTATTTGAATGTATTCATGATTTAATTCGCCCCTTTAAAGAGAGAATTGTCATTATTTCCTAGCAGGAACACCAATGCATCACGTTCTCACTAGCCTGGGAGAAAAACTTTCAGTGTGAGAAAGATATAGGATGTGTGTAAATATACATATATACATACACATTAGCACACACACTGGAGAAGTGTGCATGTGCATATATACTTTAGGTACGCACACACATATACACACTATCAGTATTTGTGTATGCGAGACATTTCAGTATCACATGCACACTTCACTGAAGTTGGCTTACAAAATATGTAGTCGCCCACCCCCCGCAAAAGCTAGTCAATAAAGTACATGATTTAAAACAAATCTTATAGAAATGGCATTGCTTCAGTAATTTACACTTTAAAAAAACCCAGCCACAAAAAAACAATCTGGAAGCTGAAACAAGATTGCTATTTATTAATCCTTCTACCACCCTTCAGGAAACATGATTATTAACCATGGAATATAAAGGCAATGTTGAGGTTGCTTTGAAAGATTATCCATCTAATTTATAAATTGTTTTGCACTGCATTTTTGCCCACAATAATGTTAATGAATCCTATCCTCCAGCATATCTTTCTTACACACAGTTCATTTTATCAGAACAGCTGCTGCTTTCTCCCAATTTGCAGCTTTGGTGCCTTTTTAAAAATTTTCCTTGAAACAGGGACTTTTCTCCCCAAGTCAATCTCAGATCATTAGGAAGCATTATGGTCTCACGTCATCATGCAGTCCTGTTTGGCTACAGGGCTTCACTAAGCCCAAACAGTGATGCCTTTGAGTCCACGTGATGCCCTCTTGTACTTCTCCCCTGTGCAGAACCACCAAAATGGGAAACTTATTTTTTTTTACAAGTAACATTTCCCTTCTTTCAGTTTTAATTTCCAAACCCTAAAATTATGAACAACTGAAGTCCAACAGAAGTTGACTATGGGAACCTAAGATGCTTCTTCAGCATAAAGCAGCACAAACAAAGTAGGGTGGAGGCTGTTGAAAAATGGGGGGGGGGAAACAGGCACACATCCAATAGCATAGGTGTGAATGCAAAGTGTTCAACGGAAGGACCACTCACACAGAAAATTGGGACTAGACCTCCCAATAGTCTGAAAGGGTAGATTTTCTCTGGGTGATGATTTGCTAATTGTAGCATGGAGGGTCTGTCAAGCAATTCTGACAACATAATTGATTACAGCTGCACAATATTAACTGTCTTCTGTTCTGAAGGGTAAAAATCTAGTACTAAAGAAAATTTTACCTAACCCGGAACAGAGTGCAAGCCCCCCGCAGTATCAGGTGTTTACACAGAAAAAAATACTGCTGATATGTTAGATTAATACTATAGTGTCAAGGTAAACTGATTTTAGTGTGGGAAGAGTAAAATAATTCTCATTCACATCCAGTGCCTTCAATCCAAACATATTTGGATCCAATCTTGCTGCTAAGCAAATGAGCTTTCTGCAGATACATGTCACCGGGCTGTTGCCACACTGGGTTGTTGTAGGAAGATGAAGTGCTGATGTTTCACCAGAGACCAGCTATGACAAGCTTTAAATGTGAGATGCATGTTGAGAATGTTAGGCAGAAACTTTGACCACTGAAGTGCTTGTAATGTCAAATGCAGGAATCCTTATGTAGGAAGATTTGATTCCATTAGATGGAGAGATTTGGGTGGCTTGTAGTGAAGCTGCTAAAGCCAAAATGTCCTTTTCGGCTTGGTTCAGAAACTAGAGTTCATAAAAGGAGACGCAACCCAGGGAGCCAATATCACCCTCACATCAACTGTCGAGCATATTAAGGATTTACAACAAAAAGGGATACAACGAGCCTTGACTGACCAAGCTGTGTACAAAAACCTTAAGCAGGAGTTTCTCAGCTGCTGATGAAAACCTATTTCAATATATGAAAAAAAGATTCAGTTTGAGCACAAAGAGCCAATGTATGCCATTATTAGATGAGCAGCCACATTTCTTCTATCCCTGGCACAATCTAGGTTTTCTTCACAAGAGCCCTGGCTGTGCCACTGGGAAGGTAGAGAGAGCCATGGTGCAATTCCCCATTCCTTGGACAGACAGAAGAGAATAACTCCGAATCCCATGCAGTCAAAGTGGCAGCACAGAAGTCAGTTTGTCTCAATTGTTCAGTGTTCCTAGAATCCAAAGAAGCTTATTCACTGGTGGCTATGAGTGCAGGAAGCAGAGAGCTAATCCCTGTATCTGCACATATTGTATGTGTATATGTACATCAATAGGAGCCACATAAAACCATCACTACTCAAATTCTGTGTGAGCATTAAATATTTCTCTTAAATCCATTGAATGAGGCAGCATCCAAAGGAGAATACAAGATGAAAGAGTTCTGTCCAAGCCTCTGCAGACAGCAAGAACACTGCCCACCCACCCCAACAAATACACACACGCAGCAACTCCACCCTTGTTTTAGAATCTACGATTACACCATGTTAGTGTATATTTCATAGGGAAAACTTGACATCTTTACAGAATTGCCCCAGCTCTGAAGATACGGGCACAGCAGTTATGAGAAGCCCTTACCAAAGTGGCATCCTACAACTAAGAGCCAAATGTTTTCCAGTTTTGTTTAAAGGAAGTTGTGTGCAAAAAGCAAGCAAATGAGCTCACACAGATTTATGGAAAACAGGACTATTCAGCTCTACTAGCTGGGCAGAGCAACACAGCACACCAAAGGGCACCTCAGAGCTGGAAGCCTTCCATGGGAGCCTCACACTGCTGGAAGATATACTGCTGTTGGCCAAGATCCACTTGTGGGGCAATGCTGCTGTCCTCTTCCTCTGTCCCAAAGTAGTGCTCAATCAGATCAAAGGCCTTCTGGTAGATTTCTTGGTTCTCATGGCTCTGCAGGAACTCAATCTTATCCAAGCCTGCAATGGAAACATGAAACAACATACATCGTGCGCTATTTTCCTCTCTTTCCAAACCCAAGGAGGAAAATGAGTGAGACAGAGTGTCAAAAGAGCTCCCACTCTACCTGAATTCTACTAATACTGGAAAACATTTTAGAAGAACTTGCCATGCATCATTCAAAGCTCCAAGGTCTGTTAAAAGTTCCACTGATGCTGCAGCTGTCTTACCCGTAAGCTGGACTCATTGTTTCCCTTATAGCCTCAGAGACTTCAGCTGTCACTTACTGAGTGCAGAATGAAGTACCAAAATGTTAAATGAAATACTCTGCAAACTCCACAGCCTTTGCAAAACTGACTAGAAGATCTTTAAGCTTTGCCCACTGTCGCACTTGAGGCTTGCAGGTTCAACAGAAGAATTAACTCCTTTGGAATTATGAGGAGTAAGACTGTAACCACCCATCGCCACTTCTCCTTACCATAGGCTTCCTCAATGAGCGCACAGTATGGATTAATGCCAGTGCCACTTCGCCTGGCTTCTTGCTCGCCAAGCCTCAGGATATTTTCAAGCCCATTCAGTGCTACTTGCACAATCTTCGAGTCCATCACCGTGAGAAGATCACAGAGTGGTTTGATACAGCCAAGTTCTACCAAATATCTGAAAATCATAATGGATGGAGAATCAAAATAACTAAAGGATACTGTTTCGCAAAATGGAACTGCTTGGGTGAATCTTGTTTAAGTCACCTTAAGAACTCTGAAAGATATAATAAAAATGGCTTAAGCAAGACGCCCTGGGTGTCTGTTAAGAAGCATCTGCTAGGATGGAACAGTGATCCATTTACTCATGCTTAGCAACGGATGGTGGGTTTTTTGGGGTGTGTGTGCGTGCCATTATTATTAGTAGTAGTACAAGGAATCTGACTAATTGTTCAAAGAAATTAAGCCATGGCAGTCTCAGATTCTGAAGGAAACTTGGGTGGCTTCTTCCTTGTTCTTTCTGCCACCTGGCAAAAATCTAGTTAGCCAAGTAAGCTTTTGACAATTTCTTGGGCTTTTAACTGGGAGGATGCTATATTTTTCCTTTTACTGCATGTTTCAAAATTGTTCTTAACATGTTATGCTGTTCTTTTATTATTTATTCTCAGTCATCTAGAGTTCCATTTATGAGAGAAAGGCAATATGTGAATCTAATAAGCAACTTAAAAAGAGACCACACTAGTAATATAAATCATGCTGTATAATGTTAATGAAAAGGATCCCATCTCTTGTTTGGCATGGTGGGAGAGAAATATGAAGCTACTAAATCTCAACATAACTTTTGTGTATTCTTCATATCAATTTTGAGCACTTTGTGGCTACTTACTTGATCTGCTCAGCAGAGCCACCAGATGTTGCATTGGTAATAGCCCAAGCTGCTTCTTTTCTTGTTCGAAACTCAGCAGTTTGCAAAATATTTATGAGAGCTGGGAAAATGTTGGCATCTATGACAGTCTGAAAAATAAATATAGCTTTAATAGCATATAACATTCAGGATTACTTGTTTATTTCAATATACTGATTTGACACACTGCTACTCAAGCAAAAGATTGCTCTGTGATCACTTATATTTATGACTAGATCAACAGATCATCTCAAATGCAGAAGAAAAGGAATTCACCAGCTATTCTAGTCATGGAAAGCAAGTTCTGTTGACACCTTAAAGGCTAACTTATGTTTTTAATGTAATGTCCACTTCATCAAACACTAGTTTTGCTGATTAGCTTTTTCAAAACTGCCTAACAATTTAACAGAATAGTTATAGAGTTGTTCTTCTAAAGCTTTTCTAGTTCAAACACTGAATTTATGAAGTTTATCAAAAAAATCTATAAAAAACTGAAGCAGGAGAGGAAAGTCTACAGACCTGGGATCTGATTTTATACTGGTCAAAATATTTCTGATACAGCCAGCTTAGTTACCTGAATCTGCGCTCTGTTTCCAGCTGTGATATTTGATATTGTCCAACATGCTTCTTTTTTAATTGATTCTTTAGGACTGCTTAGCAAGTGTAGTAAACTCTGCAGGGCTGAACAATTCAGTATTACCTGTGGTTTTGAGGGACAGAGAGAGATTCATTTGGGATAATATTCACTGAAGGCAGTTCTCAAATTTCCTGCACACTTAGCTTGAAGAGACATATGAAAGACAAGCACCCATTGAAACACAAGGACTTGTGTGTAAAAATAGACTTTTGCCAATGTAAAATCAAGGAAGTATTTTAAAGAAGAGTCCAAAATTTAAAGGAATAAAGGGGAACATAACTTCACAGCTGGCATAAGTTAAAAGAAGAAAGGCTAAAACAACATGAGAATGCAAGGGGCAGAAGAAGCAGCAGAAGAAGAGCCTTGTTTTTTATGTGCATCTGAAAGATAAGTGTAGCTCAAAAATGCAGAATGGGGTGTGGGAGTCTAGAAATCATGAAGAAAGCTGACTGACTAAATACAGCTTTCATGTCAGAATTTTGAGAAAAGTGAACACTGCCCCTTGTCAGAGATGATGTGGTAAGCATTCCGGATAAAATAAGAATGACAGCTAAAATAAGAATTACAGACAGCTTAGATACATCAGAAAATTTCAGGACAGTTCATCTAGATCAGTGATTCCCAACCTTGGGTCCCCAGATATTCTTGAACTGCAACTCCCTGAAATCCTGGCCAGCATAGCTAATGATGAAGGTTTCTAGGAGTTTTAGTCGAAAAACATATTGGCGACCCAAGGTTGAGAACCACTGATCTAGATGATCCACATCTCAAGTACTCAAGAAGAGTATAAAAGGAAAAATATTATGCTTTCATCATTCCAGAGTGCAAGATACATAATAATGGGCTACAGGAAGCCAGATTTAGACCAACTATCAGGAAAAACATCTTAAGTGTTAGAGCAGTACAATAATGGAATCCATTACCTTGAGAGGTGGTGAGTGCTCCAATGCTGGAGGCATTGAAGAGAAAATTGGTCAAGTATCTGTCAGACCTGCTTTGATTTATATTCCTGCACTGAGCAGGGAGGTGGACTCGATGGCCTTATAGGCCCCTTCCAACTCAATTATTCTATGACTCTATACTAGAAAATCTAAGTTTTATTCTCTGATTAGGTTATGCACTTCGAAACAAGCCTGTTGATAAAAACTCATTAGAGCTGCTTCTGCACAAGTTAAGGAAATGAAGGGTAGGTTTGCCAGTATGTACAGAGTACTGTAGCCATTTGTTAATAGACTAATACAGTGGTGCCTCGCTTAACAATGTTAATTGGTTAAAAAAAAACCATTGCTATGGGAAAATATTGCTAAGCGAAACACGTTTTCCCATAGAGATGCATTGAAAACCGGTTAATCCGTTCCAATGGGAACGGATTACCGCCCTTAAGCGAAAATGGCCATAGGAAACATTGCTAAGCGAAACAATGTATCCCCCATTGGAATGCATTGAAGCCTATTCAATGCATTCCAATGGTTTTGCAATGTCCGTTTTTGCAATTTTAAGTGTGTCTTAAAAGGTTCAAAAACGGTTTTAAATGCTTGGGATCATTAGTGCACCTTCTAAAACGTGTGCAAACTTAATTTGGCTTTGTTCTGACTCTTCGTTAATTTTGGTGAATTTTTTTCTCCCCCACTGGAATGCATTGAACCTGATTTTGACAGCTGTCAAACCTGCAGTTCAATGCTTTCCAATGGCGGGGGAATTCACCAAAAATTAACGAAGAGTCAGAAACTGTTTTAAATGCTTGGATTCGTTAGAGCACCTTGTAATTTGGCTTTGTTCTGAGTCTTCGTTAATTTTTGGTGAATTTCCCCCCATTGGAAAGCACTGAACTGCAGGTTTGACAGCTGTCATTGGAATGCACTGAACTGCCCGTTTGACAGCTGTCAAACTTAGGTTCAATGCATTTCAATGGGGGGAAAAATTGTCCAAAAATTAACGAAGAGTCAGAACAAAGCCAAATTAAGTTTGCATACGTTTTAGAAGGTGCACTAACGATCCCAAACTTTTAAAACCGTTTTTTAATCTTTTAAGACACTTTAAAAATAGCGAAAACGGTACATCGCTAAGCGAAACAGGGGACCTAAAACTGTCATCGCTAAGTGAGGCAAGGTCCCAAACATCGCTATGCGAATTTTCCCCATAAAAAACATCGTTAAACAGAGCGCAAAATCACTCCAAAAACCTCATCGCTAAGCGAATACATTTTTAAAACCGTTTTTTAATCTTTTAAGACACTTTAAAAATAGCGAAAACGGTACATCGCTAAGCGAAACAGGGGACCTAAAACTGTCATCGCTAAGTGAGGCAAGGTCCCAAACATCGCTATGCGAATTTTCCCCATAAAAAACATCGTTAAACAGAGCGCAAAATCACTCCAAAAACCTCATCGCTAAGCGAATACATCGTTAAACGAGGCAATCGCTAAGCGAGGCACCACTGTACCTCTTAAGAATGCCATCCTAAGTAGGGAGCCAACTGTTTTACCACTGAAGGAACACATTTGATAAAATTGACTCTTCAAAATCCTGTGACATCATGCATTTTTTAGTTTTTAAACTGTTTCAAAACCCTTCATTGGGCTTGGTAAAAAAAGACTAGTATGCTACCGCTTAGAAAGGCTCTTCTCTGGGTTCTGTGCTAATTAACAGTATTATTCATACCTTGGCAGGAGAGATAAAAATGCTTCTTAAAGTTCGTAAGTAAATGACCTGAGCAGGATTATGTTGTTTTTGGACAGCTAATATATCCAGAATTATATCTAAATTGGGTTATTCCCCATCCTACCTCTGTAGGATAGGATATGAGGCTGCTTGAGAAGATATTGAAAGATTACAGGATACTGATATTCAGACTACCATGGCATCTGTGGTGAGCCGCCACTCCAAAACGATATACAAAGGCTTTTTCTTGCCTTTTGGTGCTCCCATATTTGTTCCTCATTAGCTCACATGAGATGAGACTACTGCTAACTAAATGCAGATTTAACTCATTGCAGTTGGAAGAGATTCATGGATGTTATATGGACTAACATGGCACAAGTAGATATTGCCCAGAAGGATGCTTTAAAAGGGAGAAGAACATGGAAGATTTTCTAACAGAATATCCTCTGTAGGCAGATTTGGAGGCTCAATATCTTAAATCCTTAACAACTGGGATAAATAACAGCTCCCCTTTATGTACAGTTTTATTTCTGCTAGCTGCCACAGACTACTACATACCCTATACGTAGGACTGCTGAATTTGTTAAATGAGTCAGGGGGAGACAGAACTCATTGCCTGCTTCAGAATCTCTTCAAGTTAACCTTACTACTTGATATTTGTTTGAGAATGCTTATTTTATTATTTTACCATTTTATGCTTTTCTGACTGTTTATATTAGATGAGAAATACTACCTTTCAAGAGCAGTTTAATTTTTGTTTATCCACACAGCCTGATTGGCTATGAAGTAATAAAGTATTTGGATTATGGTGTTGTTTTGATTTATGGGTTATGAAGAAATATCATAATTGAAAATCAGATCTGCAAAAGAGATTGGCTTTCTTCTGTAAAAAATAAGTCAGAAACAAATTGTACATAATGGCTGAAATTCTGTTGTGCAACTCCACAGGTTACAGACATTAATCTTTAATTTAAAGTTTCCTATTCCCAAACATCTCAGGTTACAAGGCTCTCGGGGGAACTCTTTCAATCTGTGGAAGCCTGGTTATGGTGGGGAAGTGAGAACTTTTACTATCTGAAAATCCCGGTCACCAGTCCCGTTACTGGGTTTGGAACTGGTGGGAGTGATTTTCAGAAATTAAAGGCTCCCACTGCCTTTCCACGGTTCCCAAAGGCTTCTCTATTTTGAAAGGGATCCCTAAGGAACCTCAGTACTTGAAACAGAGGGCAAACAGGGAACTTTAAACTACAATGAATTTTGGTACTCTTGCAATTCTTACATTTGATCTATTCAATCAATAGGAAGTCAATTATCAACACAGTATTTTAAAAAATATGACTATAGTTGGATATACTATCAATTCTTTTTCTGTAGTTTGTCAGATATAGTAGGTATATATGAATTCATGAGGATAGCCAATATGATTATTGGTTTAGTTACTACAATGAAGACTTAAGCCTATTTTTATATTTTCATGTGGAAATATATTGGTAATAAAACATTAGAAAGAACATTATAAGGATGAAAGGGACAGTCGTGTGCTGTCCAACAAAGTGAAAAGTAAAATGCTGCTACAAGGCAGCTTTATGCCTTTAGATACAGGCTATCTAGGGTGAAAAGCAAAAGAGGAATTACACTACTTATCACAAATTGAAAGTGACTCAGTGATGTGTTGTCGCTACAAAAGCTGCAAACAGCATACTGGTTTTCATGAGTTATAAATGAAATGAGAGATTTGTGTTTTATTTTACCCATGAGAACAGTGTGCTAGTCACTTGAAAACAGCCAGGTTTCATAGAAAGAAACTGGGAACAAGACTCTAAAATACATATTAAATTAATGATGAAGTTGTTTTTCTCACGGAATACCTAACAGCTATCTTTAGACAAAGAATGTCTTTTTCAAATCTCTAGGGCTGGATGAACTACATCCAAGAGTACTGAAGGAGCTGGCTGGCAAACTCTCAGAACCACTGACTATTATTTTCTTGAAATCATGGAGGATGGGTGAAGTGCCAGATGACTGGAAGAAGGTTAAAAAGGAGGAATTTGGAAACTACAGAGCTGTCAGCATGACTTTAAACCCAGGGAAAATTCTGGAGCCAATTATAAACTGGTCAATTTGCAAGCACCTTGAAAACAATGCCGTGATAACTAGATACCAACACGAATTTGTCAGGAATAAATCCTTGGACTGGAAAGGCCATCAAACTGATCTTCTTACGACTTGAGGACTCAAAATGTTTCTAGCTGCATATCCAAATGATCTCTATGTACTTAGAGTCATAAATCCATATGAAAATATTTTAATGAAAAGCATGCAGAGAATTCTCAGGTTACCTTTTATGCTTAAAAATGCAGATGCTTATCTTACAAGAGAAACAAATGAGAAAGTCATCTCATTTATTCTTAAAATTTTAATGGCCATGCTGCTATGCTCTAAAGATTGATCTAAAGTCTCACATTCAGAAAGGGGACCATGCTCAGAACGCAATGAGAATATCTATGTTCTAAAGCAGGGATTCCCAACTCCTGGTCCATAGCCTGGTACCAGTCCGTGGGCTTCGCAGGACCGGGCCGCGGAGATAGATCTCCTGCCCCCTGCATGCATGCAAGGTGGGTGTGACTTGCTTGCGCGCATGCACGGGTGAAGGGGGTGTGTTTGCGGGTAGGCGTGGCACACAAGCATGCCCCTCACCCGTGAGCGCGCCAGGCACACCCGCAAGCACACCACACTCACCTGCGCATTAGCGCCACACCTACCCGCAAGCGCGTCATGCCCATCTGTGAATGTGCCACGCCCCCAGCGAGTGTGGGGGTGCCCCCGCCCCACTGCGCATGGACGCTGTCCCCTCAACTGGTCCATAGTTCTGAAAAAGTTGGGGACTACTGTTCTAAAGTGAAAGGAGAAAATGAAATAGTGTGTGATGGGATGAAAAATGACCAAAATTTTTCATCCCATCAAAATTTTCTCAAAATTTTAGACAGCAAAAGATGAACAGTGGATAAAGACACACATATTCTCAATACACTGGTGCCTCGCTTAACGAGGGCCCCGTTGAGCGATTAAATCGCTTAACGAGGGGCTCTGTGCCATCGCTGGAGCATTTGCTCAGCGATGGCCCCTATGGCGTTTTTTCGCTTAGCGAATATCGCATAACGAAGCAGGGGAGAACAGCTGATCGGCGGTTCCAAAATGGCCGCCGGAAGGTCCGCGCTGCATTTTCGCGCCCTGCCCTCGCTTACCGAGGGCGCGAAAATGGCGGCGCTATGGAGGAACATCGCTTAA